AGTAAGGCACTCAGCCCTCGGTTACTCCAGGGAGAATGTCCCTGTAAGTCGCTTTGGAATAAGGCGTCTGCTAAATACCTGAATTGTAAATGATATTGTTGGGAGAATAAACCCCACGGATCCTCAACTCCGGTGTGTTTCACTCATTAACAACGCAACACAGAGCAACATGATCGTTGTCTACAGTAGCCATGAACTCGCATTTGTTATCTTATTTGAGGGGGGGGTGGATGCATGGACCACCCGAATAGGTTAAGGGGCCTTTGGCTTTTCTTGCCGGGGGGTGCGGTGCGGTGCGGTGCCCCCACAAATAGAATCAAATTCTGTGGGAAACACTGAAGGACCATTCAAATGTTTCATCCTGGGATCATGAGTTGTATTGAAATGTCATGCACATTGACATTCTAGTTCATCTTAGTATTTACAGAACAAAATAAGGTGTGACTCTCATATTTTATGTTCCAATATATGAACTTCAGTTATTCTTTAAAAAAAAGAAGACATTATTCAACATCTTCTCAATATTGTTTGTTCACACACAAGGTACATTATTTAATGAAGGTAAATTATACTCTTTACATTTGTTCTGGCTCTCTCTTTGCTATTCAAAATAGAGTGGAATAAATCAAACGGGTGATGAAAACAGTCGTCTGGATGATGAGAGGATGCTGAGTCACTGTTGTCTCAAGTTATCATGCATTTAGTCAGTGAGAATAAAACACAGCCGGTTTCTCTCTCAGCCCCGGACTGCCGTCCAGCAGAGGGCGCTGCAGGTTCACATTTATACTGTTGCAATCAAAATTATTCAACCCCCATTGCACATTAGGTTTATTGGCTAAATATACATTTCTCAGCTGTTTGCAATAAACAAATCACACAAGAACTGTTTCAATGAAAGTAGTTCAATGAAACTAATATTACAAGTTTTTTTTTTAATACAAATTCAACACAAAATGCTATTTGTAATGACTACTCCAGTCCCAAGATGATTCTGCCCCCTGTCTCAAGCACACCTGGTGCAACTAATCAAGGGCTTCATTAGTTCAGGTGGGCTTGAGACAGAGCACTTAAATACCTGGACTGGCTAGGGGTTTGTTGAGTGACCTTCGATTGCATGCAAAATAATTGTCTAAAAAGTTCAGAGAAGAGATCATTGGTTGCACAAACAAGGAAAAGAAAAGAAAAAGACAGCAAAAGCACAGAATGTTCCTAGAGATACAGGTGGAAGCATGGTTTGCCAGTTCAAAGTTAAAGGAACAGCGGCTACACTTCCTGGACGTGGCAGAAAGAGGAAGCTATCAGCGACTGCCACCAGATTCCTGAGGAGGCAAGTGGTGCAAAACCCCTGCAGCGAGACCCTGAAGGGCTCCATGCCTGGACTCCAAGACGTGCCCCACGCCACGACTGACCCAAACAGCAGTCGGCTCCAATATGCTCAAACCATAGAAATATGGAATTCTGTACTGGAACTTTTGGGGCCTATGGATCAGAGGTATGTGTGGAGGAAGAAGAATGAAGCACATGCTGAAAGGAACAACCTGCCTCCAGTGAAGCATGGCGGTGGCGCAGTGATGCTCTGGGGCTGCACACACTGCAAACCTGCAGCGTGTGGAGGGCACAATTCACTCAAGTGTCAGGAGGTCTCAGGAAAAAACGTCTGTGAGGAAGCTGAAGCTTGGACCTTCCCACAGGACAATGATCCCAAGCATACCTCAAAGGCAGAAATACACTCGACCTTGTTTATTTCCCTTTGGATATGGACATCATGGATATAAAACTCTCCCTCGCCCTCCCTTCGGCAAATCAGACCACATCTCGCTGCTGCTGCTGCTGCTGCTGCTGCTAAGCAGAAACTGAAACGGGACAGACCGGTGACACGGAGCATACAGCGCTGGAGTGAGGAGTCAGACTCAGCTCTGCAGCACTGCTTCGAATCTACGGAGTGGAGTGTGTTTGAAGACAACAACATCAACACACACACGGACACGGTCATCTGCTACATTGGGAAATGCATCGATGACGTGGTACCAAAGGTTACTGTACGAACATTCCCAAATCAAAAGCCCTGGATAAACAGCGAGGTGCACACCAAGCTGAAAGCGTGCACAGAGCTGGAGATTCAGATGAGTTCAGGGAATGTAGGTATGAACTCCGGAGAGCTGTTCGCAAAGAGACAGTACAGAACACAAAACACCCTGTCATGTTAGTTTAATGGATTTACTTAAACAGTTCTTGTGTAATATGTTCATTGCAAACAGCTGAGAAATTGTTTATTTTGCCAATAAACCTAATGTGCAATGGGGGTTGAATAATTTTGATTGCAACTGTATACAAACGCTATGCATACCGTACACATATGGAGCTGTGTAAGTTCTCAGAAGAGCCTAAAGTGATGTCATGAGGAATGGTGAATGCAGCACTTTTCCCCCTTGTGGTCAACCAGATCAAATACAGCTGTACACTTTGAGGGAACATGCTAGAAAGTTCTTCAGAGAGGGTTTAGATGGTGCTGGGGAGTTAGAAACCTCTGGAACTCAGGATTTAAGTCCACTCTGCCAAAAAGTGAACAAACAATTGGACACCATGACTGATTTATTCTGTGCACTACATTAAACAAGCCTTGATAACATTTAATAATGATACTTGAACTTTAGGTCTAGATTTTGAAATGAAATGAAAGCCAAAGTATTGAAGTGCCTGCCACCGGTAGAAAGTCTGACTGAGGGTGTTTCACTGTTTCAGAATCACATGGAGGAGCAGTATGGAGAACACTACGCTCAGAAGGTAGAGGACAGACTGCTGCACTACCTCCAGCAGCTGGAGACCGTGTTACCAGGAGACACACACATTGATAAGGTGTGTGTTCTATGGCAGCTACTTCTTCAAACGCTGTTTGGTCCCGTGGTCAGAGTTCTCTTCAACATGAATTGGTAGATGAGATGCACAACATGTTGTGAGGATGTCAGTTTTACACTCAGTTTTATCAAACGTGAAACCTGGATAATATCTTGTCTACAAAGTAGTTCAATCATTCCTGCAATAACTATACCAGAATCAGAATCCGGTTCAACGGGAGGTAGGTTTACACAGACGAGGAAATAGTGTGTGTGGTGCAGACGTAAACACAGTTCAAGAAGAGACATTGTAAGAAAAGGACTAAAACAGGTTTTTTAACTATAACAAAAAAAACTATTATAACATTGAAATATTGAGAAATATTTACATTAAATATAGATATACCAAAAAACTACGCACAGTATAATATGCAAAAAACTTGTTATATTAATATAAAATAAAACATGTGCAGTATTGATACGAAAAGTGGAAAGCTGTGCAGAAAGAGGACGCTTTGAATATAAATGAGCTATTTGCTCGTACATATGGGTAACGTACCGATGTTTCCTGTATAATCAGCCCATTTCATGCAAATGTGCTGAAAACAGTGTAACTCATAAAGATGTGCTCATGACCTGATGCAGTTACACAGTGGGCGTCTTTAGAGAGGTGGTGGTACCTGGAGACATTTATAAGGTGGCCATGACTTCCCAGTGATCACGGCAGCAGTGATTGTAGCCGGGTGGAATAGTTTGATTTGAGAAGCATTGACTCAGTGAAAGGACAGTGGAATAATGAATAATAAGGCTCAAAAACACCATGTCCTTTTTCTGAAATGACATGAGAATTAAAAAAAGGTTTTTATAGTAAAATTATTTCCTTTTTCTTTCTGCTCTAATTTTATTAGAGCAAAAATGTTTTGTGAATCAGACCTTGACACGACACAGATGGAAAGGATTCTTTGTGAATTTGTTGCCTCTAGTCGTCACAAACTACCACAATCTAGCTAGTAGAACTTCAAGGACTGCACGGATGACTCACCTGAATGGCCTCTGACATCAGGGGTACTTCACTCAGTGACTGATTCCATATTCTAATGTGTGAGGCAGATCCTGAAGAAAGCAAGCCCTGTGACTGAGGAGGAGAAGCTGCTTTTGGAAGTGATAACCTCTGACTCCAAGAGCATCGCAGCAACTCTGAAGAAACTGCTGCACTGTGGTAATGAACTCCACAAACAGTGTCCATGTGTGTCCCCCTAATCTACTCATGTACGTATGGAGAGCTGGAGCATATCTCTTTGCTTTGAATCAGAGTCTGACCTTTATTTATTTACTGTTTCAATTGTTTGTTTTTCACCTTCAACAGCACTGCAGTTTCATCCAACTGCATTCTGGGTATTAAATAATCATCGGAGGTCTTTCATGACGTGATTTGTCGTGATGTATGGAAGTCATGAACAAGGCATCTTATCCCCTATTTTCTAATATTAGGACACCTCTGAGCACATTATTGTGTGAATGATCCCTTCAAATATCAATATACAGTAACACGCGTGACATAAAGCGTCAGCAAATGGCAGCTCAAGTGAAATCATTTGAAATAATGTATCAGACAATTGTTTTTGTATGTGCACATATTTCTTCTTATTCAAGATAGGGCTGGATCCATCTACTCTGACTTGTACTTTGTTTGTCCTTGTATTTTAAAAATGCTGTCTTTGAAGCATTAGCAAAGAAAGATTGCTTTTATATTTAGCAACTAATCAAATCTTCTGATGATAATTACGTATGTGTTACTCACTATGCACTTCCTGTCTGTTCCTTTAGATGTTGCTTTGTGTCGTCGGGCCACGACTCCTCAGTCCTCAGCACATGGAAAGAATGGGATGGAAAGCTCCAAACTCTCAGGGTCTGTTCTGCATGTCAGTGCTTCAGAGGACCTCCACAAGTCCATGGAGGCCCTTCAGACCCCTCCAGTGGTTCTTCAGCGAGGGGGGGCTGAAGGAGACGGCGCTGTGTCGTTGAAGAATGAAGATGATACAAATGTTAGCAGACGGCAGACAGAGGAGAGTATTGAGTTCTTCATGAGAGTGGGTGAAGATATCAGTGACAGGGAAATGAGTTGGAGCAGCAGAGGAGGCATTCAGGAAGCCCCCCCCTCCCCTCAGTTCTGCTCCAAGCACCAGCGCTGGGTGGAGAGCATCCTGCAGCAGTGTCCTGAGGAGCTCCAGGACAACGTCTCTTTGTCTCCTTTACTGTTCCAGTCGCCCTCATCCAACACTACATCACAGGACTTCACCCCCTCTGGTCTCATCCCCTCCCCCTTTGACCAACCACTGCCACCTTCAGAGACCTTCACCCATCTTCAGACAGCTTCTCAGCCAGCAAACCTTGAGCAGAGTTCTGCAGCACCGGGATCATCAGCGGATCCAGTTCTGCTGCCGTCGCCCAGAGACACTCAACTGCCCCCCCACTTGACGCCGGTCGTCCGACTGCTGGACATCGCTTCCGTCAGAAGGTTCTGCCATTTCTCTAAACCCCATCAAGCACCTTTCCATCCCTCCGCCTTGTCTCCAAACAAACAGGATGCTTGTTGTTCTAGTCTTCAGGTACCAACCTCTCCACGCTGCCGTACCTCAGGGAACAATGCTTCAGCTGGAGGAGCGACGCAAGACTCTCCGCTCGTCCAACATGCTCCCCAGAACACGACACACCAGGTGTTCACAGCTCCTGGGTCTCAACATGCATCTACCTCCACGAGCTGCCAACCTCCAATAGAACAATATTTTTCAAAACTTTCAAGAAAGTACAGATGGCCTTGTGTCAACAGCAGAGTTTCACCGGTTCTGGACAAATTGAATCAAAACACTTGTCCGACCGTACCAGAACTCAGCGTTCCTCGGCCTCCTACAGAAGAGGCTTCTACCGCTGCGTCCCCTTCATCGACTTCGTCATCTCAACCAGTTGTCCCTCAGAACTCCTTCAAACCTCCTGCACAAAACACCATTCATCTTCAACCATCATACTCCACCGTCTCCCCCCCCCCCCCTGAGGCCCCACTGGTCCTGGTGGAGAGCGGCAGGGTCCGGAGAGACGGGCTGAGGTTGTCTATGCACAGCCAGGCCGTGCTGCTGCAGTCCAGGCTGCTGCAGTCCAGGCTGCTGCAGCCCTGCGTGCCTCTGAGCAGGCTGAGCGCTCAGGAGTGCTACAGAATGACAGGGTGGAGGTCCTCCAGCAGAGGGTCCGAGCCGGGGGTACAAGGCAGAAATGATGACAACGGGAGGAAGGAGGAGGAGGAAGAAGAAGATGAAGGTTCCTTTGATCCGAACAGTCTTTATTCCAGTTATTCTTCAAGTAGTGCTGACGACTCCATGGACCCTGATTACAAACCTTGCTTGAAGAAGAGAAGACTGCTCTTAGAATATGAAACTGCAAGGACCATGGGTCATACTTAAAAACATTTAAATATATACGGACTATAGCCGGATGCAAACTTGCTTTTTGACACTAATGATTTCAATATTTTGACTTTTAAAAAAGCAACAAAATATTAGCAAAGAGTACATTTTTAACATAAACAAAATTTGACTTTGTACATTTGACACTGTAAATATCAACATCCTTTGTATAAAATATGAAATGGTGACACTGTTTCTTAATTCTTTGTTAATTATTCTTGTAGCATATCCCTCTGGCAGATGTGTCTGAAATGTGTGGGTGTTTTGTGACAACAGAAAATGGTTTGTTAGTGTTGATCTGTTGACAAATTAGAAGAAATAATCCAGTGGGGCCGGAGATGTGACTTGTTGTTCAGTCTTAAATGGATTGATGACATTTATAAAAGTATGGCTGTTCTGTGAATTCAAAATCAAAATGATTGATTTATATAAAGCCATTTGGGCACACTGTGGATGTAGTGGGTCCATGTGCCTATTACTGCATTCACAATGTCAGGCAGCATTGGATCTATACTGTACATGTTACGGCCCTTTTATATTGGGAGGAATAATCAAGATGAAAAATGGCGTTTCCTCAGCGAAAACATTTACTCCAGGGAGGGAAATTATACATCCATGGGAAATACCCAGAACAAATCCTTATATGTGGTTGTAGACAAAAGCAATGGATCTCAGGACCCTTGATTAAGACAATCTAGTAGATCACAGATCAACACTTTGTCATCATTTTAAATTCTATTTTAAACAAAGTACATAGAAGCTACTTCCTAAGCATGTAAACCATTTTCACACTAGCATTAAAATCATTCCTCACACATGTTACACAATTTAAATACATTACCAATTAAAAAATAAACGTATCAGATAGACTGTATACAATACGACACCACCCATTGCTTTTTGGACTACGGTTTTGAAGCTTCAAGGTCTGGCATTTTGGCCGAGCCTTCTTGTTTTTTTCTTTCTCCATTTTTGTTGTTTTTAGTAACCAGAAGTAACTGGAAACGGTGGAGCAGAGTCCTGAAAGGTGAAAATATAAATATATTTTAGACGAAAATGTATCGATTCATTTTTATGAAGTGGGCACACACAGTCAATGGGTTAAAGTTGTAAATTGAGTAAAGTTAGAACAATATTGGCAGATTGGCAGATTCGGATTTCACGGATCAATAACTCATGAACAAGACGTTGTTCAGACACAAATTACGTACCGTGGTAAGGTTGACAACGAACTACAATCACATTTTGATCAAAAAAAGCCAATACGTGCTGTCCTCCAAACTGGACACATTACATTGGTCTCTATCCGCAGCCGGAGAAGAAACGAGTGCTCAGTCTGCAAAGTGCAAAGTGCAACTCCGAAAAAAGAGAATACAATAATATTCAATAACGTTACTATTATACAGTATATTACTACCAAACTCACTACACACGTCAATAGTCTCCTGTTGCTCATACTACAGCAGAGAGTTTGGAAGAATGTGCTTTCAAATAATTTTGAGGAATATTTATAATGTAAAATCTTCAATAAACATGGCATCATCTTCAATAACGTTACTGTTAGAGCCAGTATTTTGATTTTATAAGAAAGGCCACCTAATTGTGACGTCTGTAGTCAACGCACAATAAAAGACTACAATTCCCACGGCGCATGTGCTAACGCCACAGTGATGGGCAACCTGCTGAGAGACGCCGTCGAGGAACAGTTTTTTTTACCGTACTCGTACTCGTACTGTATACAT